CAGCGCTGTTCGTGGGAGCTCAGCATCGAGGCAAAGTGCTTCATCTCCTCCGTCAGCTGCTTGATCTCCCGGCGCAGGGCAGCGTTCTGCCTCTCCAAGTCTTCGCTCTCCTGAGGAGACAAAACCACAGGGGCTTCCTCAGTGCGGGAGCCGCAGGAATGATCTGGGAACATGGGGGTCGCAGTCCCGCGCCTCTCTGCCCCGCAGATTTTCCAGAATGACAAGTTTCCGGTAAATTCGGCACAGAGCTGCGCCTGGGCAAACCCCACTCCCCCAGCCGGCCAGGCTGGGCTCGGGTGCGGACGCGATGCTGGTGGCCCCAGCCGCGCTCCCCGGCCCCGGCTTACGAGAAGTGACTGTGGCGTGCTCCCGCCCAGGCTTTCTCGCTCCCTCTCACGCACATGCACGCTGCCGGCCGCTTCCCGGGCCGCCCGTCCGGGGGGAGGGTGCACTGAATAACCGCCGTCTTTAACCAGAAAACCACCTGCCACAGGAAACCTGTCATTGCCCTGGAAAGAAAAGACTCACTGCTTCCTGCTAGCAGCCGGGGAAACCAGCGGCACAGTGGGGAGGAGGGGGAGACGCTTGAGTCAGAAGAAAAGAGAAACCAAGGCCTCAGAAGAACTGAATTAATAGTTATTAATGAGAATAACAACAAAGGGGTTAATAATGATGCTTAGCCTTGTCTCAACAATCCCAAGAGCATCGCAGCCTTTGCTACCTCTACTGTTGCCAAAGTGCAGTCAGCTCCAGGCTGGAGCATCCCAGGCACCGACCAACCATGGAGCCAGCAGCCTGGGCAAGACCAGAGGAGGGAAGGAGGATGCGGTGGCAGGTTCTGCAAACTCAGCCGAGACAGCTAAAGTGGGACTTAGCGCTTTGAGGCCCTGGAAAGCTGCACCACCACCTCAGCAAAGTGAACCTGTCACCCCTCCACTCAGCCCTCCGCTGCCATGCTGACTTCTGACAGTGCACGCTCTCTGCACGCAGGTTGAAACGCGCCTAGCAGCTACAGCAGCTGTCACAGGAGGAGCTCGCACAGCAAACGAGCATCTCAGACGTGACATGCTTTGGAAATCATAACTGACGTTGAACTCAGGAGCTGATGGGAATCACCCAGGGGCCGGGAGCCCCAGCCTCCCTGTGACTCATTCCCCTCAAAACACAAGCTACAAAGCCCTGGGGCAGATGGAGCTGCTCGCTCCTTTCATACCACCATAGCTCAAGCCAAGCCATGCTCTTCCGGGCAGAACCACATCAGAGAAGCGAAGTCCGTGATGCAGAGCCAACCAACGGCAAAGAGCACTCAGGGAACGAACCCAGCAGCAGCAGGGGGTCACTGTCTGCCAGGAATTGGAAAAACATTAGCAAAAATTCACCATCCATCCTCTATTTGCCTCCCTGCGCTTCTCCAGCTGCCTGCCAGGATCCTCTCTGTCTGAACAAAACTGGGCTTAGCCTCCCTGGTCCCATCCCCATGGGAAGGCAAGGAATGCGTGCTATCAATGCTAGCTGAGCAGTAGTAATCTTGCAAGCAAGTGGTTTGTCATCTGCTCTAAGAAGAGCAGCCCAGTTCTTCTCGGTGCACAGCTAGGCAGAATTTTCCTTGGGGAGGATCAGAGCCCACATCCACCTCTAGGATTACCTTGGAGAGAGCACCGACCCCAAGGAAAGGGTGTCTCTTCACCCCTCTCAGGCAGTCGCCCAGACCCATCACTGCTGACAGACATAACATAATCAGCCTAGAGCCATGTCAGCTCTAGAAGGATCATCAGGTACTGAGAAAAGACTAAAATCTCTGTCTTAAACCCAGCTCCAACCATGGACTGAGGGCATTATGTAAGGAGGAAGGTTCAGGACCGGCTTCTCAAGAATTCTTCCCAAAAAATGGGGCTCTGGGGGAATAAGAAGACCACTAAGTCAAAGGATGGTTTTTTTGAACATGAGCCTAACTACCACTTTTCACAGGGCAGCCAAGCCCAGCGCAGGGATAAAGATGGTCTCTGCCCACTGCAGGCTGTGTGTTCTGCATCCTGCCTGCCGGTGGCCCAAAACACGTGGGACTGCACTTACCAGCGTGCAAAATGCAAAGGAGCCCAGCCTCTGTGCTCCAACACTGACCACACATTCCTGCCCAAACACACACAGCCATAAGTGACCAGCCCTCCTGAAAAGCAGATGCCTAATTCCTCACATTGGGAAGAGCTGCAGGTGTGCCCACGGTGCCACAGGAGGAGAGTGGGAGAGCAGGATGAAACCAAAGGGGGGAAAAGCCATGCTAACCAACAGGAAAAGCCTCCAGGTACTGTACAGTGTTCAGATGTAGAAAGGGGTACAAGCGCTACCATGGAAACATTTAAAAATATTAGAAAATTATTAATATTTATTCATCTACGCTGCACAGCATCTCAGGGAACAGACCAGAGGAGATAGCCCATTCGGCTCCACATCGCACCATCATCCATACCAATGAGTACAAAGTGCTGCCATCTCAGAAAAGCATCCTTGTACATTGTTGCACCGCTGTGTAAGTGACAGGATGAAGCACAAACCCAGGGTGAGCCAGCCCGGGTGAGCCAGTGCTTTCAAAGAGCTTCTGACTGAGCCGGTCAGAAGAGGTTAGGAAAGGAAATTGGTAATGTCAGATTGAGAGATAAAGATGGATTAAAAAACTAGCTGCAAAACTAAATGCTTCGGTGGCAGTCATCCTGGGCTGTATGCTCTCGCTACGAGCGCTGACTCCTACATCCTGCCCTGGCCTCACTTTTCCTGTCCTGCCTCAACTGAGCATCTCTGCTCCGAGTCCCCAGGGGAAAAGCACGTTGTCCCCTATGTGAGCCCTCAGCACCAGGGATGGGGAAGGGTGGGAGTGCTCACCAAGTGCAGCGTGTCTGCTTTCTGGGTCTGCCGCAGGCGGCTCTTCTGGGCAGCAATCCGATTCTTCTCCCTCCTTTGGACTTTCCTCATGTCATCAGAAGAGTCCTAGGGAAACAAGGCATGGAAATGACTGGGGCATCCCCTCCCTCACCCTGCTCCTGCAGGGCAGTAGGTGGGAAGGGGACACAGCAGATAACATCACTGAAGCACAGGACATGGGATACACACCCTCAGCACCAGGATAAAGTCATACCCCAGGGATGTGTGATGCTTTTGGCATCCCTGTTGCCAGGAGGGGCAAGTCTGGTACCCTTGGGCATCTCAGCACAGCTGGGAAATGACCACTCTACCTTCATCAAGGCACAGGCCTGGGATGTGGCTTGAGGGACCAGAGTAAGGACCTCTCTCCGGAACAGAGACAATTTGAATTCCTTGTACAGAAAACCTTTCCCTTCCCTGTCTCTCAGCAGGGATACGGCACTGCAGACATTCCAGGTCCTTGGCTAAACTATCTCTCCAGAGATTCAGCCATTGTTTTCCTCCTTTCATCCCTGTAGGTCCCACCCTCTCTCCATCACCCTTCTCCTTCAGGCTTTATTTGTTGCAGACCCTTACAGTGCAAAGTGGCCCCTGCTTTGTTTACCTAGACAAACTCAGAGCTTTTGGATTTTCCCCAGATCTCATTTTCTCCAGCTCTCTGATCTCTGTGCTTGCTCTTTTCTGGAGTCCCTTGGTAGCAATGCCTGCAATGCTGACTGCAGCACTCCCAAGCCCCTTGGGCAGGGGAGAGCACCGGTCTCCAGGTCACAAGCCTCATTCAGCAGCCGTTCTCTGCTGAGATCTGGTCCTGCTGCTGCCTTCTGACAGTTGAAACCGTCACACAGTCTGTTTCATCTTCTATTTTCATATTGCACTGCCTCTTTTGTGGACTCTCTAACATTCACACCACCGCTTCTCCACAGGACTACAAAACTCAGCCACAAAAGTTATCTTCCCAGCCCATCAGTCTGTCCACATCCTCTCCCCCCTCCACCCCGCCCAAGATCTTTTCTTTTCTTTGAACTTAACCGTTTTATCCTTGCCTTCAATACCCTACAAATGTCTCAGATATGGCAGCTCCCACATCCTGCACCAAGTCCAGTCCCTATCCTTTGGCAACCCCTGTGCTTTGTCCCCTTCTCTACCAGAATGCCTCCCCATCCCTGGTTGCAAGCCCAAAATCATCTGCCCTGATCATCCCTAAGACTTCTGAGCAAAGTCTCAGGTACTTGCCGTTGTTGCCAGCCCTGGAGAAATGGTAAATGACAGATATAATAAAGCTCAGCCAGCAAAGGCAGTGGAAATACCTCAGACTTGTGTCAGTATCTGCCAGCAAAAGACCTACCATTAAGGTATGCTGTGCAACAAAACAAAATCCCTCTGTCAAGCATGACTGAGATGAAAAACCTCTGAGGCTGAACAGAAAAGAAAGCAGACCCAAGGTGGCAGGGCTTTTCTGGGTCCTGAGTGCTGTCCGCGGCAGTGGGAAGCAGGCAGGCTGCCCCTGAGCCATCCCGGTCCATGGCAAGGAGCTGCATGCTCAGGCTCCTCACAAAAGCACTGACTCTCACGCCAAAGCTGCCTGCCCGGCACGTATCGCAGGGCCCACCGTGCCCAGGGGTCCAGGCTTCCCCACTTGCCCCTACCATAGTGCCAGGTAACTGGGCCTCCTCTCGCCACCCACACCCAGCTTGGTGGCTGGGGCTCCTGCCGGGGCTCTCGGCTCAGCCCCGCATCCCTCTCCCCACAGTCGTTCCTAGAAAGCCCCGCCATACTGTGCTGTGAAAACGCCAGCAGTGGGTGCCACCCTTCCTCCTGCCCACCCATGGCCCACCCCAAAGGACTCTCCAGCCGGGGGGAGCTGGGAAAGGGTCCCTGCTTTACCTGCTTGCTGGGAGGGGGAGACTGGCTGAAGCTGCTGGAGTCGCTGCTGTCGGAGCTGTGGGGCATGGCTCCTGTCTCTGGCTCCCAGGGCCTCTTCAGCTTCCTTTGTGCTCTTGGTGTGCCTGCCTTCTGTCTCGCTTCCCTTCCCTCTCACCTGCCCTCCTCTGTCCCCCCTGAGGTGGCCCTTGGCTTCCCAGCTCTCGCCTGTCCCGGAGGCACGTTGTCCTCCTGCCCCACGCTCTGCCACTTTCTCTGCCTCTCCTCTTGGAGCTTCTGCACCTTCCCTTTAGGTCTCGGCCTCCTGTGGTTTCTCAGAACCTCGGGGATGTAAGCTGAAAGTCACGTGGCCGGAAACTTTAAGGCGAAGAAGAAAAGTTACAGAAGAAGAAAAAAGAAAAAAAAAAAAAAAAAAAAAAAAAAAGAAGAAGAAAAAAAAGCACATCTGGGAAAAATGAGCTTCAAAATAGCCTGAAAAACCCCCGAAAAACACCTTCAGGCGGTTGAAAAACAGCGAGATGGGTTTTCTCTAAGACAAACAGCAGAGATGGAAAGGAAGAAAAGCCCCGGCTCTGGCTGCGAAACCTGGACCCTCAAAGGAGGGCAGTGCGGAGGAGGTGCTGCCGGGAGCCCCAGAAATTCCAGGGGCACCGCGTCACAACCCACCCGCCCCCTCCTGCCACCCCTGACACCATTGACGTGGGTCCCGGGGAGGGGACGGGTACCCTCAGCGGGTGCCACGTAAATGCTGTTTGTGCAGATGGCTCACGTGTGTACGATGAAGCACCAGTCCCACCTAAGAAGAAAGTCTCGGGATCGTAGAACATTTGGACCAGGTTTGGTAGGACGGGTATTTTCCATAAGGCAAAGCTTTTCAGCACTTTAAAACATTCATTAGTACCTCACCGCTGGCCCATAAGGGGAATATCAACCCTGGCACACAAATTAAAGTGCTGTAAACTTAATGGTCTATGGCCCCAGAAACCAAACCTGAGACCTAATTCTCACTCCATGCCATGATATGAGCTTGGCTACACACCAGGGGATGTGAGACTGTCGTGCAGGGGTCCTGACTCCCTGCCTGCTCCCCTCTAGCCCCCTCTCATCACACCTGGCAGTAGAAGACGTGGGTCAGGACTATGGGGTGACAGGATCGTTACGGCACGTTGGAGGTTTTTACCTTGCTATTGTCACTCTGCCAGAACCCAACCTGGGCACAGCCCATGCGGATGGTAGCAAAGAGAAGCTGCTTTGCATCCCCTTGTTTCTCCCCTGGTCTGTGCTGTTTGGGACTGCTTCCATTCCTTCCTACGAGCCTCAGTAGACTGAAGATGTGCAAGCAGCCCCTGGGACAGCAGTGCTTCAGGAGTGCCCTCAGGGTATCCCATGCTAGTGGCTCTGGAGGTGACAGTGCAGGAGCAGAGTGCCAAAGTAGGAGCCATTTGCTTTCTGATCTGCTCATGTCACCAGAGCCAGTGGGATGAACCAGGGCCACATGCCAACAGGCTCTCCATCCACAGACAGGAGCACACATCTTCAGAGCAGCTCAGTTCTCGCATGTGCCTTGCGGAGCAGATAGAGAAACAGGCACGAACCCATCCACAGTAACCCACTCCTGTGGAAAGCAGCAATTCCCAGTTCCCACTTACTGGTTTTCATTGCATATTGGTGTTTTGGTTGAGTTTCTCCTGCCTCAAGCAGAAGCACCGAGCAAGTCTCAGCAGCAGGACATCAGCAAGGGCACTTGAGATGCAGTTGTCATTAGGGGAAAAGCATCGGCAGCTTTGGGTTCGCAGCCTTATTGCAGCACAGAAAGCACACACGCAAAGGAGCACAGGCTTGGAGCATGTGCAGACTTCGGTGGGCATTGCTGGCATTTCTTCCCAGCCCTGCCGCTCATGGAGCCAACACAGGGGCAAACATGGCCAAAAGCGAGAACCGCATGGGGCTGGCTACAGGCTGGGTGGCTGAGGGGAATCGCCTGGCCTAGCTCTAGTAGCAAAACCACTCTGTTTTGGCCCATTTCCCTCTTTAGAAACATCCTGTGGCACTGGTGCGCTACCCTTGGCCCTATCATCTGAACATTTCACATTTCATTGAATGTATTTTTTCTTCGGGTGTGCTGTAGGGTAATGCTAGGATCCTCCACTCTTTCGAACATGGCTGCAAGGGTTTGCTTGCTTGGCATGAACAACCCTGAGGGACCCCGTCTCCTGGCAGTGCAGCCCCCCGTAGCAGGCAGGGCTCCTCTGGCACGGCCAGCTCCGGGAATGGGGCAACCGAAGGCACCATTGAGACAAGGGGCTCGCGGGGAGTTTTGTTCAGGCCTCCCAAGGCACCGTGAGCAGCACAACCATTGAAGCATCCATTCGCTCGCTGCATCACTACACTTCCTCTGAACTCTGCAACCCCGTGCAGCACTTCCTTTCCAGGAAGCACGCCGCTGGATTCCCGCTCTCCCAAGGAAACCCACGCTCCTCTACTGGTCAGCAGGTCTCAGACACCGCCTGGCTCTCCCTGCTCTGCAGGCTGCTGTTGCTCAAGGCAGGACGGAGGGGGGGGGTCCTTCCTCAAGGAAAAATATCCTTGTTCCATTATTGGGCAAATAAGCTGAATTGCCTCCTTTTGTATCTAGCGAGGCCAGCAGCTGAAGAGAGGTGATCTGGAAGGCAGCGGGTGCATTGGCAGGAGGCAGTGCAGGGAAGCTGGGTGGCCTGGCAGGAGCTGGACGGTCAGTGCAAAACTGTCCAGAACATGGCTATGGCAAAGGCTATTCTCTGATCCACAAGAGGGAAGCTTTGAGCTGCACCCTGGTTTGCCCAGAGCTGGGCTTTTATTAACAGCTGTTGGAGAAATCTCAGGAGAGAGCAACATCATGGGAGAGAGTTTGGACATTTGGTCTTGCTGAGTGGGAATAAGACAGCATCCCTCCTTGCCCAAACATACTCCTCGCCCTCAAGCTGGCTACGATGCTAATGAATTCCTGTCACTTATGAGCCATGAATAAATGTGCTGTAAATGAGACAGTGTCTCCTAGTATGAAGGTGGGCAGAGCCTTCACAGTGCTCCCCTGGGCTGGGCAGGACCCGTGTTGCCTCCTCACAGGCAGTGCCCCATGCCGTTCCTCCGGCTGTGATCCCCCAGCCCAGAGCAGCAGAGATCACCAGCGTGGCTCCACCAGCATCTGCTCGCGGCTCTCCGGGCGCTGCCCTGGGCACCTGCTGCAGGGGACATGGGGAGCTGCTGTCCCCCCCCCAGGGTCTCCCTCACCCCTGCTATCAGGGGAAGCCTGAGGAGCCAACCTCCTAATCTCTGTGCTTGATTTAGTTGACTACATTTACACCATGAATAACATCCCCTGACTTTCCCTCTGGGATCGTTTAGGTTTCTTGATCTTAATCACAGTAGCTGTGAAATCGCTGTCAGTGGCACTGGATGAACTCGCAAGTGTTGTTACTGCCACACCAGCAGCTTGATGGAGCAGGGATATTTCCAGAGGTTTTTAGGGGAAGGATGGGGCCATCCAGTTCTGCATTTCTCTGTTCTGAATAACAGTAGGCACTGCTGAAGGGAGTCCTGTTCTCTCCAGGACAGAGCGGCTGCAGGGACTCTGGAGGCTGGGCTTAACGTGCTCTCGACTGCCAGAGAAATGGTTTGAAAGCAGCAAGATGCAGTTCAGCAAGAACAAATGCAAATGTAAAGCAAAGTGAGATGTAGGTAGAAGAACTGGGGAATAACCGACTGGGCAGCAGAATGGCAAGGAAAAATCTGGGGGTTGCAGAGCATCATAAACTAAAGCCTTGCCAGCAGCGCGGAGGTGTTGCAAGGGGGCTGGGTATTGGCCTGGGGTGCTGGGTGCAAGGCAGAGGAGATGACTGCTGCACGCTGCCTGCGCAGGGCCAGGACCCGCTCAGAGTCCCAGGTCCAGAAGCGGAAAAGTCCAGAAGAAATCAATACAAAGGATAAATACACAGGAATCTTGTGCTGAGAGAAAGGAGTGAAGAAGTTGGGTCCATTTAGCCTAGAAAAGAGAAGTCTTGGGGGCGGGAAGTGGGTGGGGAGGAAGGAGCAGTCTTTGCTAGGTTGTAATGGAAAGGGTGGTCAGCTGTTTTCTGCGCAGCCAGCGCAGGATAAGAAGCACAGGGCTCCAGCTGTGGCAGGAAAGGTTCAGGTCTGAGGTTTGAAGCAAGATGAGGTCAGGAAGACCTTGGGATGGGCAGTTCAAGCAAGTTATTCAAGCCCCTTCATATGAAGAGGCTGGGAACAAACCTCTGTCGGAAAGGGTCCAGGTTGAATCCTGCCTCTGTAGGATGGGTTAGAGTTATTTTTCCTTATTTAGACCCTGGGAACATTTAAAAAAAAAAAAAAAGCTAATAAGATGGGCTCCTCAGAGCCCAGAGAACACATGGGGCATTTCTCAGCCTTATCTGCAGCCAGTCCCTTTGCCTCCAAAGTCCAGAAAGGTCCCTATGTCCCACCTATGCAAACAGCTTCCTCAGCAGCAGCGGTTGCTAGTTTCCTTGTAAACCTGCTGCTCCAGCCCTCTCACCTGCTGCAGGCTTACGGCAGCAATGTTCAAAACTGCACCTCACCCCATCCATCTCCCCCGTCTTGTTTGCATGACCATTCAGTGCATAGTGCTATTTAAAAATCCAACCTAGAGCAGCTACCAACTTCAGCCTCCTGTAAACCACCAAGGTTGTTTCTGCTTCGCATGTAGCATTTTATGCAAATAATTTCTTACAATATTTGGACAATTACAATAATTTGCTTATCATTGCCTACATGAGTTTGAAGACTTTTGTGTGGGATTCAGCACTGATAAGAGATGTTAAGTGAATGGTGATGTTGAACAAAGTCCTTGCTCTCTACCAGACAAGCTTCTGTCGTGTCCTGCTCTGTCAGCACATGTTGGTCCTGTCTGCAACGTGGGCAGCTTCCCTAGCTGGCAGGATGGCTCGTCTCCATCCCCAGGGAGAGCTGAGTGAGCTCCATCTTGGCTGAGCCGAGTGAGTACAAGAGCAAGGTTGTGGCAGGAGAGCTCAAGCGTAGTCCCACCAAATTCATCC